GCCTTAAAATCCATCAAAGAGGATGAATCGTCTGATACTGAGTCTCTTAGAGATGATGAAATTGCATACTTTGTTAAGAAATTGCAAAAAGTTCTCAAGAATAGGAGAAAGCCTTAGGATAGAAAAAGTGAAGTCCCTAGAAGATTCTCAAAAGAAAAAACTTTAAGGTTTAATAATAAAGGGTCGAGTGATAAACCACATTTGGTTAGGTGCCATGAGTGTCAAGGTATAGGTCACTATAGGAATGAGTGTCCTAGTTATAAGAAGAATCAAAGAAGAGGGAAAGGTAAGGCTTTAGTTGTTTCACTTACAGATAACGAATCTGAGACCAGTGATAGACAGGAATCATCTAGTAGTGAAGATGAAGGGAACTATATGGCATTTGTATCGGCTGTTAAGAGTGAATCTGATAAGGAGAGTGACAAGGTTGAGGAAGAACTTTACAATGATAATTCTAGTAATGAGGATGAGGATGACATAGACATACAAGAGACCTATCAACTTTTGTTTAAGGAGAGTCTTAAGATTAAAAAGGTCAATAAAGCCCTACTCAAAAAAGTTGATGAACTGGAAAGAGAAAAAGAGAGATTTGCTAGTAATCTTCAGGATTCACTTAAGAGTGGTAGTGAGTTAAAATGTGTCAACGAAAAGTTAGAGGACAAGGTTAAGACATTGGCTAGTGAATTGGAAAAATCTAATGCTCATCTACAGACTTTCATAAGTGGGACTAAGAAATTGGATAATCTTTTAGGAATGAATAAACCAGTGGGAGATAGTAGAGGTCTAGGATATGTTGAGGGTAATACACATGTTGCTAGACCATCTAAGACTATTTTTGTATCTGCCTCTAAGAAGTCTAATGTTGTCAATAGTTCAAATAAGGATAAGAATGTTCCGAGGGAACAGAGTCATCAATCACGTAGGAACATCATGCCCAGATACCCACAGACACGTACCTTTGAGAGTAGGTTCATTCCCACCTATCACCACTGTGGAGCTCTAGGACACACTAGGCCTAGATGTTATAAGTTAGGCAATGAGCGTAGAAATCAGAACATTCCTAGTCAGGTTAGCTTTCTATCTAATCAGGTTAGTCATTTGACTGAGATACTTACTAAGCTAACTAGGAGTACTATCGCCTAAGAAAGTTTGGGTCAAAAAGGGTGATCTAGCTAGACATTCAAGTCAAGAACATTGTTATGTTGCTCATGTTGCATTAAAAGCCCAAAATTACAATATGTGGTAGCTAGACAGTGCATGTTCTAGGCATATGTGTGGTAACAAGATTTTATTCACTACTCTTGATGAATGTAATGGGGGTATGGTTACCTTTGAAAATTGGGGTTCTGCACCTATTCTTGGCAAAGGTACTGTACAAATGCA